ATATGTATATATGTATATATATAGGTGTTCGATTTGTGCCAATGTGTATAGCAGGTAAAGAACACGTGTGTGTGTGTGTATATATATATATATGTTACACTCTATTTACTTTTTAGGCTGTCCCGTCTGCCACAACATAAACTATATGGCAAAAACAATACACATATGCTTTATATATATATGTATATATATATAAATAAATAAATAAATAAATAAATATAATAACAGTACTAATAATAATACAACAGTATGTACTAAATGTGTATAAGCATATTTAATCATTGTATGCTATGTTTATTATACACTCATTTTACATAATCATGCAGAAGATTTCTGAAGCATAAAACTTTTTGCAGTGTGTTATATCTAGAGAGTGGAACGGCCTGGAGGGGGGAGGTTGGGAAAGAAGAGTCGGGAAGTGCGCGCATCGAGAATCTCAGTGAATGACATGTTTTTCTCAGATATATTTTGTTTTCTCGGACAGTACCTTTGCAGTCATAACCTTTCTCATGCACGGTACGATGACAACATGGTTCAGCCAAAAGCTAGACTGTACAACAGCAACAGACAAGATACACTGCGACCCAATCTCGGCCCATCCAACACGTTCGCGGGGTAGAGTTTGAATCTAAAATAACAACCATAAGGTCAATAATAATATGAACAGATGTAACCAACACAGCATACAAAACTACCGATGCAAGTAAATTACACAAAACTACATGAGCGGAAAAAGCGGAGCCCCACAGCGTCCCTTTCTGGAGGGTGGGACGCCCTCGAACCCCCATATTTTACAGCATTCTCGCATGTTTCATAACGAAGTTCGCTTTTAAAATGGAAGGGTGGTATAACACTTGTAAATGCACTGCACTCAGCTCCAGATCAATTCGTATTGCATTGGTTTCCGTCATTCCATATAATAGATATTTTTCCTTGCAAACATTTTGCAGTAATCGTTCGAAATCGAAAGTACTTTCTAGGCTGTTAACAATTAAGGATGGTAAAGGAACATATGTACTCGTGCCGCAAGAGTTTAAAGTATCCCCGCACTGAATCCAGAAGATGCGGTCTCAGCATACCGCC